AAATCGCTGGTTAGCGGTAGTGGCGGGGGACTGGGCGAGACATAGGACGGGGAGAAGAAGAAAGATGAGGATATGCATCAAGGCAAAGGCGGTGAAAGATGGATGTGGCATGAAAAGAGAAGAAGATGCGCCATGTACAGCGGACAGAGGGCGGGCAGAGGGCGGGCAGCGGGCAAGGGTTGGGAACAAGTAGTCAGAGATGTGTGCCAGTCGGGGGTAGCGAGCGTCGCCGGGCAGGCGCAACAAGTGGGTTGTTCACAACACAACAATGTAAGTGGCGGGAGAGCAGAATTGGAAATGGAACGAGCATGGGCTCAGGAGGGGGGGAGGAGGAGGGGCGGAGAGGCGGAGGGGCGGAGGGGCGGAGAGGCGGAGAGGCGGAGGGGCGGAGGGGTGGAGGGGCGGAGGGGCGGAGAGGCGGAGGGGCAGAGAGGAGGGGTGGCACCGTAATACTGTACCGAAGTCAGGGGCATGTGTCGTTCGGATAAAGGCAAGTTAACACAGGAGAATCAACATGCTTCATGACATAATTTGGGCGAAGGCCGGGTGGCATACCGCAACGCCAGGGTTGGACCACTTAGTTTTTCCGTCACTGCGAGTTGAGGCCCAATGAGACACTGAATACACCGGGCGATCATCTTCCTACACGGTGTACGTACACTCTATTCTCGCAAGTCTACGCGCGCCGGACACAGTCTTACCGACAACTGGGCATCACTGCATTTCTATGAAATTTCTGCAAGAAAATGGACCCGAAACTTCCATCGTCACATGCCCAGCCCGCGGCCGGCCTTCCATGGAGGGCTGATGACACGATAAGGTTTGCCGCTGTGCCGCGGTGCGTTTTCGCGTGACGCCCTGTGCGAAGGGGCCGTCGTGGTTTTTAACTCGATATTCTGTCATTCTAGATACGCGCCGCCGAATGCAAACGGTGGTTAAGTACATTTCAAAACATGCTTCCAGACGATGTGCGTTTCCATCTGCACGTGAACAAGCACGCTTTTTAGCCCCAGCAACCTGACAACGAACTGCGATGGTGGTAACGCTCAGCCTCATGCGCAGGACAGCGCTGATTTCACGTGCAACGTGCTGGCGACAGTAGAGTTCGGCAGCACGCAGCGCTCGGCGCCGCTCAAAAATTGGAGCTGTAACAAACTCGAGGATAGGCCTTGCCGAGCATGCAGTAATCCACCTCTTCTATGTTGTCCTGTACCGAGTTGCACAGGATCGGATTGAATGCATTTGCTTTCGGCTATTGGGTCCCCTACACGTTGCTTGTTGTCGGAGGAGACTTTAGGGTACAGAACATGAATTAAGAGTCGTACACTTACCCTTCGAAGGATACGACTCTTAACTCGTGCGTGTTTGATACGGTGGACTGCACACGGTATCAAAGACGCAGGACGACTTAGGTTGGCATCCCCGGCGCCACGTACCGTTGCGCGGCAACAATGATCTACAGATGTCGTGGACAGCTCTTGGCTCGCTGGTCCAGCGGCCGTCGCATCGGTGTCCAGAAGAGACAGCGGTGCACAACCAAGGGTGCTGGCAGCAGCACTGGTGATGCCAGCACTACTGTAGTAAATGCCAGCACTAGTAAATGCCAGCACTAGTAAATGCCAGCACTACACTGATCACGGTAATTAGTGGGGACCGGACTAATTCTGAACCTGGGTTTTAGAGGCCGTGACTGTGAATAGTCCGGTCCTGACTATTTATGAATCTAGACTATTTACGGTGTGATTCTTAAATAATCGGGACCAGACTATTTTACCAGTGCAAAAATACTCTAGATCAGTTGACAATCTGATGAAAGGACAACTTGTCACGCGATTGGCTCACCGTTGAAATGATTGCGATGCTTCGCGATGATCAGGGGCAAAACAGTTGCTTCTCCTCCCACTGCCCGTTGACATTCAAGGACATCCCAGTGCGTATCATCGCTTTTCGTGCATATGTCAGACCGGCCTTATCGCGCTGCGCATTGACATCCTGGACTGCTTCAGCGGCCATCTGCAAAAAGAATCTTTTGCCAGGATTTTTCAACTTTCCACTCGCTCCCTCACCACTCCCCATCCATTCCCCTCTTGCGATTAGACCCACTTTATACGCATCCCACCTGCTCCTCCATGCGTCTTTAAGATTAGATATGACGAACGAATCCGCAGGTTGTACCAGATCAGTGGCGTTCGCAGGAAGCTTCCTCAAGACAGTGTTGATGTCCCGAAGGCATTTAGACACTGCTTCAGTTTCAATGTGCCCCGAGCAGTTGTCAACAAAGAGGGTCCGATTCCGGCCGTAGATGTCCCTCCTGATTGCCCTCGGCTCCGCAAGCCACTCGGCGAACACACGACCATCCATCCGTCCCTTACGACCTGAGCGATAGCAGACACCGGTAACATCGTCCGGTACACCTCGTATCGGATAAGAGCAGTTCGGATTCTGGAAAATTAGCATCGGCGCCTCTATCCTTGCATGAACACCACCCGTTACTCTTACCATCATAGTTATCCCTTCATCGCCGGAAACAACATCTGCTTATTTCACAGACTCCTGGCCACGTAATCCAATAGTTCTCCCGTTGTCCATATTAAACAAAAAGTGCATTTCGTCCGCGTTCTCGACTAAATCTTCAACTAAGTCTCCAGCCATAAACCCTCGCTTCAGAGTCCCAAGATGGTACGCCACATTCTTTTCTATGAACAATTGCTTGTCGGGACTTACGGAAAGGTTGCCAGCCTGGCGTCTTATGACCAAGTCATGGGCAGCCATGAACGTCTGGACCCATCTTACAGTAATTCGTTCGGCGATTGGGGCTCCTCTGACGAGCGTGGTGTGGTTAAAAGAAGCGTCAGGATCTGCCGTTTGGATCAAGCTTTTTGCGGCACAGACTAGGAAGGACGGACTGAGCTTTACATTCATCGAGTGCAGCCGATCAAACTCCCCTTTCAGAGCTACATATAAATCTTTCACCCACTGTTCCCTCTTTCGTCCACGTCCATTAACAGCCTTATTATTCTTCCGTTTTCGGCCTTGACTCCCCGTTGACGACAGATTACCAAGCCGACGCCCGGGAGCAGATAGACTGATGTACTTGGATCTGTTTTTCCACCAAAAAGAAACCTTGCTGTGGTTAGTTTTGTAGCTGCCCGGGTATATATGAGGGAAATTCCGCAAGGCCATAGCCGGAAGACCGTTTTGCCTTGTTTCATTGGCTTGGGACAGCATCCATTGAATCACAGTTCTGCGCTGGCTGATTGTAGAAACAATCTGCCGTTTTCGGCCTTGGGAGACGATATTGGCTGTGTCGGAGACCAGTAAGGCGCTGGATTGGTGATTAGTTTCGGGCGTGGGGCTCGGGGACAATGGGGGTCGTGCTGCTATCGCGGCCGCCAAGGACCGTTCAATGGGTCCCTGGGTTGGCATTGCGGTTGCTGGAGGTGCTCAGGACGTGAACCACTTGAGGGAAGGGGAAAGATCAGTGGTGAAAGAGAGGGGATCGGTGGTAAATGGAAAGGAAAGGTCGATGTGTCGGTATGGGCTGATGGTGATCACCAAATATGCGATCAAAACATGTGACCAAAAATATGGACGGGCAAAATTGCACAGTAAGCAATTCCAGGAATGTGTAAATTCACTCTGTATGATCCGATGGCCACGTACCGTGACACAGGGACCCCTATGTGAAACAGGGAGGCGTAGATGATTACAGTACGGTATCATGAATCTGGGGGTCCTGAACAGTAAATAGTCCGGACCGGACCAATTTTGAATCAAAACTAATTAGGGTATCACGACTAATTACCGTGATCAGGTGTAGTAGATGCCAGCACTGGTGATGCCAGCACCGCCAGGCGCCGCACTTACAGACCGTGTTGATGACATTGCCATGAACGGTGCTGACATCGCACGTTGGTGGACCAGATGTCGGCGCCCACTAACATTACACCAGTGTCACCCAGCATTGCGGTCACGTAGTGTATTAGCTAGGGCTCTTTAACGGGGAAGGTGCCACCGCGACACGCAACATTTACTGTGAGGTCCAATCAGTACAGTACCCTTTGTGCGGTTCCCTTGGGTACAGCAATCTGGGAAATCCGAGATTAACAATTGTCAGGAAATTCCAGTACGTGTATTGTACAGAAAACGCGGTCTCTACATGTGTTCACACATTTATGGTTTTTTCTTCTTGTACTACAGTATATCACATGATATAGTTGGCGACAAGAATAGAGTGGGCGAGTTGAAAGCCTGACCATGGTAGGCTCTTGAGAGCTGAAATATATTTTGTTTCAGATATTATGTTTCAGGCT